CGTGCACTGTCTTGTGCAGTTCGTCCTTTTTTGTGCGCTGATCGTGATGAGACGCAATAAAACGCAGAATGTGTTTCCTTCTTGTCTATGCTTTATTGCACTGAAAATGCTTTTCAATGGACGAAAATAAATGCACTATACCACTAGAGCGGGCATATTGCCGAAAGATACATGTTTATATCTAGTAACTAATGATTATGTTTCCTTGAAATACACTGCTAATATTTACTTCTTATTCGGGCACCGTTGATTGCTTCAGGTGACGTCATGAATAAAGTGCAGAGCTCAGATTTTTTTCCCTCATATCGGCTATATGAGCTTTTTGTGGCCACTGATGTCAACATTTATCAAGGTAGGTGAATGCAGCTTACATTGCGTTGCTTTTTGTTTATGCACAACCTAAATGGCCCCTTTAAAAATAGTGAACTAATACTCAACGTAGATCAACGACATGAAGAAGTAAGCTAAGAATTTATCTCAAATTGACAAAAAAATGGTATTTGGAATATAAGCGCGCAGTTTCTTATGGTAGGTTTTTTTTTAGTATTCACTACAACATTACAGGTGAAATAAGGTCAGTTACTTGCCTAATCAAACACAGTTCAAATTAAATTGTCTGTAAGTTTGAACTAATTCAGCTAACCTATTTAGGCTATGTTCTGCTGGAACAGTTAGTTCCCACTCTAACTTTATTCAAGCACAATTATTCCATTATCTGTTCCGTTCTGTTCTCTTCTGTTTAAGCTGTTTTGCTGTGGAGAGGTTGACGTGCCTATTGCCTCGGCTACTCCATATCACAAAGTTCTGCAGCGAAAAATAAAATAATAATACAGAACGGTACCCAATAATAACAATACGGAAAAGAAAAAAAAACATAATAGCACACTAAAACCAGTTCAAATATCATGCCAATACACAATTTTCTTACCGCAGTTAACACAGTTATAAACTATTTACACGCACACCTTACTATTCTACTGTCAGTATATAAATGACCACATTTTATATATACCCATCTCTGGCTGTCTGTCACAGGCGCTTGTTCAGTCCGGTCTCCACTAAGACGTCTGTCAGGAATATTATTGCCTTTTTCTGGAGATGCATCTCAGGCCATGGTCCAAGTAGTTTCTTTATTGTGAGGGGCCGTCTGTCCAAACTTACTAATTTGTTCTTCAAGTTTTCTCTTTCATTCGCGTATTTATCGCACTCCAAAAGAATATGGCGAACATTTTCTTCCGAATGACCACAATGTCATTCCGGTGAGTTGGATCGATGTATCTTGTGCAGGAAACTGTTTGTGTATGCTACTTCCAATCGAAGTCGGTGTATTAATGTCTCTAGGTGTCGTGTGAGGTCTGTAGCTATGGAAAATTTTCTGTTTGGATAAACTTCATAAAGTACTGTTTCCTTTGATTTAGGGCTCTCAAACCACTTCTCCATCGAACAATAGTTAGCTCCTTGCGATATAATATGTCGAATATGCGCCCCAAACATAGGGATTGCGCAATCCCGTCCTTCCTTCAATGCTTTCTTCGCGAGGCTATCAGCCTCTTCATTTCCCTCATCTGTTTTCAGCGTATTTTCTACGCATCTTGTGAAGATTTTATGCATACTAGCTTGGTTTTTGGTGCAAAAAGCACGCAAAAAGTGTTGTGACGTCTGTTTGTGTTATCGTAGGGAAAAATGGGGTGATCCCAAGGATAGTACTGAGCAAACACGACACTACATTTCGGGTAGCAAGCCATCATGTCACAAGAAGAGCAAAATTATTCCGTTATGATTCCCGCGAACTATAACACACAGCTGGCACTCAAACAGAACTGGGCTAGATAAAACGCATAGTCGAAAATCACAAGAACTGCAGTGTTTAAAAAAAAGAAAACTCGCATAGGTCATTATGCATTCACAAAAGTGACGATGGTAAAAGCGCACTTCTTTTTCCTCTCATTCGGCTTCTATTTCTTCTCCTGCCCCGCTTCATAACTATTCATGCACCTAACTTGTTTTGCCACAGCCTCCAGAATCGGAGGCGCATTGCAAGGTTTCTGCACTCTACGTGGCTTTGCAGAGCCTCTGAGATGGGTCCGCCGGTGACCAAGCGACGATGTTACGTCGCAATTGAAGACGCCACAGTGACGTTATGGTGAACTGATTAGAACGTCATGACTTTTGGTCTCCCGCAAATCTCTTATGGCATCAACACGCTCTTGAGCTTTTTGTCTTTGCATCCCTTGGGGTAAACGTTACTCTGACAGTCCATTGTCGCATTGATTAAGTACATAATATAATATTTATTTCGGGTTTAACGTCCCAAATCCACCATATTGTTACGTAAAAATGACACGAGGCGTGTCTATTTAGTATATATATATATATATATATATATATATATATATATATATATATATATATATATATATATATATATATATATATATATATTGTAACTACTGATGCGTATAGCATTGACTAAGATGAAGGACAGCATGCACACCCGACAGACCACTTCCTCGTTGTCGTCTTCTGACCGCTGATAAGTCAGCTACGTAACACTACGCCCCCCCCCCTCCTCCGGCGGTAAAAGCGCCGTCTCAGTGCACATTAACTTCGGTCTTCAGTAGGCAAATGGTAAAGTTATAGCCCGCTGACGTGCACAACATCACTGGGTGTGGTTGCAGGCAGCCTTGTGGTCTCGGATGCAGAAATGACCTCATACGTGACGTCGGTTACCTGGCGGACAATACGGTAAGGACCCATGTAGCGAGACAACAACTTCTCTGATAAGTAAACTTGACAAACTCGGCACCACAGGAGAACGAGAGAACCGGGTAAGAAGCGAACGTCAACATGCCGGCTGTCGTAGATGGCTTTCTGGTTGGCTTGCGAAGGCGAAAGTCTAGAGCGGGTGATCTGACGTGCGTGGTTGGCACGACCGATAGCGTCGCGTGCATATTCGATTGACGGCGTTGCAGTGGTTAAAAGTAGGGTGTCGAGTGGTAACGTCAGATCCCGGCCATAGAGCGAATAAAAGGGTGATAACCAGTGGTGTAATGGCACGAAAAATTGCACGCGAAAGTCACGTGAGGTAGCGCCAGGTCCCAGTCATGGTGGTCGGAAGACACATACATCGCGAGCATGTCCAAGAGGGTGCGATTTAGGCGTTCGGTAAGGCCGTTTGTTTTGGGACGGTAGAAAATGGCCAACTTGTGCTGCGTCGAGGAAGAGCGCAGAAGATCGTCGATTACTCAGAACGAAAATGCGCGGCCGCGATCCATGAGTAATTGGCGAAGGAGCGCCATGGTGTAGCATGACATCGCGGAGCAAAAAGTTCGGAATGTCAGTAACGGTGCTGGTGGGGATCACTCGAGTGATGGCATACCTAGTCACGTAGTGTATAGCAACGGCGACCCACTTGTTACCCAATTTCGACTCAGGAAAAGGACCGAGAAGATATATACCCAGCACCTCCACCACAATGATGTTACGTAAAAATGACACGAGGCGTGTCTATTTAGAATCTATATTGTAACTGATGCGTATAGCATCGACTAAGATGGAAGGCAGCATGCACACCCGACAGACCACTTCCTCGTTGTCATCTTCTGACCACTGGTATGTCAGCTACGTAGTAATATGATTAAGAGAGACTGCGTAGTTGAGGGCTCTAAAAATTTCAACCACCTGGTATTCGTTAACGTGCACCTAAATCTGAGTACATGGTCCTCAAGCATTTCAACTTTCAACTAAAGATGCTCCTGCCGTGTCCGGGATTTTGTCAGCAGACGAGTGCCTTAGCTTCCAGACCACCATGGCGGGTTGATGTTGAAGTGTAAAAGGCTGTCTACTTGAAATATTAGCTAACCTAGCTGTGTTTCTTTGTTGTGCACCTCATTCATAGTATCACTGCATTGGGCTCGCACCTGAATGCACCCTCCAGGGCCAGAGATGAAGCCCGCGACCTCAATCACAGCGGCCAATGATTAAAATTAATAACACAACAGTTTATATTAGGTACCGTGAAACCCGGCTGGCATCAAGCCCTGATTGCACTAAGTCGAATTTTGCCATCATAAAATAAACGCCACAAGACTAAACTCATTATACAGCTAAGACGAACCAGTGATAACTACAGCTGATGCAATGCTATTAAGGACGGTTGGCTAGAATGTTCATCACCTTTCACTGGATTTAAGAAATTGTTGAGATCAGATGCATTAGAACATGCTGTCACTCGTGTTTTGTTACTTCTTATGACAACTTTACTTTCCTGCATTTCCTCTACGGCAGCTGTACAATAAAGCTAATTGTTCTTTTAATCTCTCTACTCATCAGAGAAATGCGTCGTGGAATATGGGTGCTATCTCATTGCCGTTTCAGTGGTTCCCTGTCTCCAGGTTCGACCATCTCGCTGTTAAGTTACGAGTGGAGGGAACACCTAGAGATTTCCAAAAGCATTAGCCGTTCATTGCCGGTGCACAGTACTTTAACCAGCCATACGTAGAAAATATTGATAAACGCATAAGGTGTCCATAAAGGGAATAATGATCAAGGATAACGTTGGTCGGTTCAGTTTTTCCACCCACCTTTTCTAAAACTTTCTGCACGTCACGTGTAATTCCGCAATCCCGGGGTTGTCACGTAGAATTACGCAATGCCGGGGTTGGTTTCACTATTACCAGATGACAATCAGCACGATGACGACGTCAGATTACGCCGTGGCGTCAGTGATGGCCATAATGTCACGTAATTTCAGCACCGTAGTTGTAGAACTCTGATGACAAACCATTTGCTCTTGCATGGGCAGTGCTACAAGAAACACGTGACGATTAGATTTATAGCAGCACGAAGAGGTACATAGATAACATGAAATGTCATGTATATATCTCCAAGCGTAAATTGCCGTTTTCTTGGGAACCGGTCATTGCAACATCGCATACGGAAAGCACGTACGAGCGTCGCGGACACTTTCCTTTGTCTCGCGTTCCACAACTGGCACCGTAATGGCTGACGGCAAGGAACGACGGAGAAAGTCCCCCGAGGGTCGAGAGAAGAAGCGAGAAGGCCACGACAGAGGCAGCGACGAAGAAAAACATCAGCTTTCACCGACAAAAGGCGCTTCGCCTTTTGCGCGTGCTGAGCGGGCCTCGCGGTCCCCTGGAAGCCAGCACACTTCTTCCAAGTCACCATCAAGCTCGTCCAGATCTTCATCAAAGTCACCGATGCGACAGATGGGAACAGCAGTGCTCGACGCGCTCAAACGAACGCCATCGCCTCGTGATCTGTGCTGCGGGACCTCGTCCGAGAAGGAGGAAGCTGACCCGAGCAGGTCATCCGTGCGCAGAAAAGCCTCGTCACTCTCCAAAGCATCGTCGCCATCGAGTACTTACTCGCCGGGACCATCCGCGATTCCCAAGAAGTCGTGCCTCCGTCACAGGTCTCCGTCGCCGCAGCACAAGTCTCCCGGGGCTTCCTCTATGCCATCGGACAGTCTGCCTACGACAGGAGAACACGGGATGACGCCGTTCCGCGATGCCGACACCGAGGACGCCCCCGGTGGCAGCGAAACCCACAGTTCCCCTCAAGTGACGTTCAAAGACATCAAAGAAGGCATCATGCCTCCTGACGACACCCTGTTCCGGATGTTTCGTTTTCGAGGGGAAGTTCGAGAACGCATTCCAGTTTGCGAAGCAGAAGGGTTAGTGGAACCAGCTCCGCCGCCACCACCACCGTCGACGCCGTCGCAAGTGGAGGCGACGGAAGACTCCATTGTCGCCGATGTGCACCAGCTGCCGCATACGCAGCAGTCTTCTGGAGCAACGCTACCCGACCTACCTGAGAGAGTGGAACAAATTGAAACGGATCATTCTGAATGATCAAAACAAATTTAAGGTCATCAGTGAAAGTTCAAACACTTCGTTTTTGGAATCAATTGTAAAGACCCTGATGGTTCCGCTAACCAAGGATCACTCATTAGTTATATTTTGCGTCTGTATTGACTGACATGCTTCCTATAAAGAAGGCCTTTGAACACTGGGGCAATACGTGAATTTCAAATGTGTGTTTATGCTCAAATACTATTGATTAAAGATTTTTACTCAAAAAAGCCTCTCCTATGGTGTTATTCGGCTGAACTTGGATGCCTAAAGTAACCCGACTTATGTTTTTTTTTCTATATTTGAAAGTGCTCTTTTTTTTCTCTGAGGTCAAATTGGCTAGTATTATTCACTGCTTCATAGTAATACTAAGTTGTCTGATGCACCATGCCTACTCAGTTCTTACGATGACGTGGACATCAACTTGATGACGCCTGATCAAAAAAACGCAACGCCAAAACCTGCGCATTAGAGGACGACATGAAATAAAAACCTTTGTGGTTGTGTACGATCGGGCAGGTGCATATTACGCTCCGGAAAGCTGCATAAACTTATAAATGACTTGCACTAACGTCCCTGAAGCTGCCATGTTGGCGCACTGCGTAGTAGGATGCAAGATTAGGGACCCTGCGTTAATGTTATTGTTGCATCACTTGCAACTTTTTTTTCTTCGTCATTTACGCACAGAGACCAAAAGCAGTGTGGCCGCATCATTATCATCATGAAAAATGATAACGATGCGGCCACACTATGATAACTTCATAGTGAAATGAATAACTCAATTGTGCATCTTTTACGTCATAAACGTCACCATTTTGGTGAACAGTATGCTGGGTTCATGATGTCACGTCACGTGCAACCTATGCACAATACGCTGTGTTGCGCTATGTAACTTTATTACAGCCACATTCGCCTTTACGAACAGTGTACAAGCACCCGCTTTTAGCGCGTTCTGCACACGCGGGCAAAAGATCAAACAACGAAGGCGCACATATCTCTTCACTATCAGCCATCCAGGCAGTGGAGTGAAGCAAGATGCCCACTTTATGACTCTCGTTCTGTAGACACTCCGATATATGACGATGGGAGGAGAAGGGGTGCGACGAAATCGCCGTACTCCATAAGCCGCGCCTGAGGTGCATGAGCAGACGCACTCTCGAGCGCGCTTAGTTGCATGTGCGCGGGTACATCATTATCAATCGCATTGCAGTCATTCTACTCGAGTACTGAGCGCCACACAAACCTAGTAAGCATGCATAATGGTGCTGGTCCGCCTCACGCCTCCTTGATGTCTGGCCAAAGGCGGACAATAGCTAGATCGCCGTTATCTGCTTCGCGTAACAGCGACTTCTGTTTGGAGTTGGTTGCCGAATTTTCGACTACTCCCGCTTCTCCCGAAAACTCTCGGTCACTCACTCACTTCTGGTTTTCCAAATATCCGTCGAAATTTTCGTAAAACATGAAACTGACACGAAACAAAATGCATATTCGAAATTTAGAGCTACATTGAATACTTATGTTATCTGAGTGCAAGTTTATTTACGGTGAAAGTCAGCTAATTATCATTGATAATTCAATCCCTTCAGTGAGCGAGCGGAGGGTTTTCTTCGTAGTAGGTCGGATGGTTGCGCCTTCTTGCGGAGCATGTCCCAACTACACGGTATCTTTCACATGGCCTCTTAAATCTGTTTGCACAAGGTCATGTAACGCTAGTTCTACGCCACTACAGTGTACAAGAGAAGAGTGGTGCTCGAAACGCCCGAAACACCGAAGTGCAGATAGGGAAGCCGAAATGTAGTCAAGCCACTTGTGGCGCTGCAATCGGTTGCCCACACTGCTCCCTCGCTTGCGAGTGGCACGCAGCTACGCCAAGGTGATGCATGGGTAGAATGCCCACTTTTCCATTTAATAGCGCCAGCTTCTTATCGCAGCTGTACATGGTGAGCTTAAGCTCACATGTTACAGCTGTATTGATTGTCACCCGTTATTTGGTGTCATCTGTTACAGCAGCAATAATGTTCCTTTCTTTTTTTGAATTACCTTTAGATGCTACGCATTCTCACAAAACATGGCGTCAAAGGCAAAAGGCTCACTTCGAGTCTCGTGTTTGCGAAACAATTCTTGGCCATTCTTCGTTTCTCTTTTAATGTCATGCATCATATGAGTATTTTCGAGATTACTTCACAGTCTAGAGTAGTATACTCGTGAGGATGTGTAGGTACGAAACGGTACCGTGAAGCTGCCTTGCATTGTCTACTCCCACGTGCGGCTATGTATAGTTGACATTGAATTGCGTTATTATTGTGGTGTAGAAGTGTGAGTATTTGTATTCAGTGCTGAAATTTTGTATTCTTTCCCTCCCCACTGTAATGCCCTTGGTTGCTGGGGGTACTATGATAAATAAATAAGTGCATTAGTGCTGCAAATAATAGCGCTCACTATGCAATTCTTTGTATTTGTTTTTTTATTACACGTTGCTTTTTCTATCATTACGTAGCAACTGAAGCTTGATGCTAGTTATGAGGGAAAAAACAAAGCCGATACTGCGTTAACAAGCGACAGTAAACATTAAAGAGTTTTGTCTACTGCTCATATTCAAAGCAGCCTTCATAATTGAGAAGCGCGCATTCTGTGCCTACACTACGTTGGCGGATCCACTAGCAACCTTTCACGGACGACACATTGTCGGCTACTGATCGCAAAGCCACAAGCGCAGGGACCCCATTCAGGCTTCACTCTTTAAAGCTTGTTCCGAGCGCTCCCGTGTTCTTGTAAACTTCCGCAAACGTGCTCCGGTAAACTCCACGCAAACACCAACGTTCCAGTGCCACCACGTGACACCCGACGGAAGAATTAGTGTCTCCTCCCATTACGTCTTAATCGTTCGCCTATCGTTGTCAGCCTTGACAAATGACAAATCTTATGATGCAAGGCACTCGTTTTTTTTTTTGTAGCAGGTAAAAACATCCGTGAGCGCAGTATTTGTCTCGCGTAGCACATAACAAAGTATCAGCACGCAAAAACTTCGAAACGGACTTAAATGCGACCATGTTTTCCATATCAAGTTTACGATTTATGCATAGGCGGTGAATCGTGGCCGGCGTTTAGCTGATACGAAACGAGTTGTCGTCCAACAGTCTTTAAGGAATGAAGATACAAGCTACGTTTGGCGAAGGGTAAATGATTTTTTTCCTTATAGCTGAACAATAAGCAATCAGCGGTAAGTAATCTGTTATAATCATTAGTGTCACTCATTGTAACGACATTCCTGTCGCAGCATTTCAACGTACAAACAATAAAAAACTCAGTGTAACTTTTTTATCTAGGTTTTCACGTCCCAACGCCACATTATGACTATAATATCCCATAACGCGGAAGCCAGAAATTTCGACCATCTAGTGTTGGTTAATGTGCGCTGACATCATACAGTACACGGGGCTCTAACTTTTCGCCTCCCTCAAAATGCAACAGCCGTGGTTTCGATCGCACCGTGACCTTTGGCTGAGCAGCCGAGCACCCTAGCCACTGTTCCAGGGAAGCGAACAATAGCCTCGTCGTGGTGGTCTAGTGGCTAAGGTACTCGGCTGCTGAACCGCAGGTCGCGGGTCGCAAATAAATTGCGTTAGCGTCGCTGAACAAGAACTCCAGAAAATCAGCAGGCCAAGCCGTACTATGGTAGTTGTAAAAGTTCTTATTTTCACAACTGCTGATATATTCTTCTATGCATATTTTAGCGCACAGACAACTATCGGTTACTGATGCACAAAAGTAAGCCAATCAGACTGCTCAGTATTAAAGTGAAGTCATGTATTCCGGCCAAATACTATTTTGAGACTTCGCACGTAAAAGTCCTCTTTCTAATCAAACTATTTATAATGTCAGTATCTCTATGCTGATTGTTTCTACAGCCGCCGGTGTGTGAGATTACAACGACTGATACTAACGAAACGACCCCAAAGCTCAACGTTGATTTTATGGTACTGGCATACTCTTTAACACATTTGTTTCTAAGTGCCTTCCGAGATTCCGCGTGAACGACCTATAGAGCACAACGCGTTGAAAAATCATCTCTCAAACAGCAAAGCATTACCGGCTCCGAGAGCGCAGGCACATATCTAAGTCAGGTGAAGCAATACGATTTTGCTGATTACACATTTAGGGAAATAAAAAGGGCTTTGAAGCCAAAGCAGTTGCATTAATATGCTTCCAGGGGATCGCGCAGCACTTCATGTTCACTTCAGCCGTTCCTAAGCACAAGCTGCTTGCTAAGCTATTCCAAGTACTGTGATGGCTATAAAGAGGTAGAGGATGGATAGAGCAGGAAAGCTGACGTACTCTTTCAAAGAAACCATGCCATCTTGAACCCAGTGACGAAGAAGCTGGGTGTTCCAAAATTACTCTGAGCGACAAAAAAGTTGGGCCTCCGAAAATTGAACCTAGGGACGAAGAAGCTGGGCCATCGAAAATAGAGCCTCCAGCCCTGCCAGTCCTGAAACAAACCAAACCAACTGTTACTTTCGACCTGGCCATCCAGACGATGCGGCGACTCTGTCCCAACTCTATCCCATCGAGGACTCCAGAGAACACATTCTTAGAAAGCATGCCCGGCACAAGCCAGGCCCAGCCGACAGAACTGGGGGGCCAGAGTTAGCTGGCGGGCTAGCCACAAGTTCGCCATCGCAAACTCATGGCCAACATTCGGCCACACTCACACAATGCGACGAAGGCTTACACTCTCATACATAGTTTGGCTATGTTCGCCTTAGCCCCGCCACGGTGGTCTAGTGGCTAAGGTACTCGTCTGCTGGCCCGCAGGTCGTGAGATTGAAACCCGGCTGCGGCGGCTGCATTCTCGATGAAAGGGAAGACGCTGTATGCACATATGCTCAGCATATGGACATACAGCATCTTTCGGTCCACGTCAAAGAACCCCGGGAGGTCAATATTACAGAAGCCCTCCACAACAGCATTTTTCATAATCATGTGGTGGTTTCGGGACG